CCTAAACCCTAATCCTAAATTCGAGTGTCGGAAGTCCGCGATTCGATTTCTTCGCCGCGCCGACGCGTTCATATTCCCCACGAACAGTTTTCAAATACACTCCAATCAAGTTGAGATGCTTGACTTGCACTTGCGCCAAAATCCTTCGTATTCTCCATTCTTTCGTGTACGCATCACCAATGTGATGATCAGCAACTCGCCGAACAAAACTCTTCACTTCCCGACCCATCTCACCATACCAGCCAATCGCAAATGGTACAAATTCGCAAGCCATGCCATCTTGCGGTACAAAGTCTTTCCACGCCGGCGAGTTCCTTTTGTTCTCTTCAGCAATTCTGAGATGATCTGCAACCGTAACGATGTCCGAGCCGATTCGCGTGCACGGCGCCACATTCTTGAGGTCGAAGACAAATTTTACATTGTCATCCATTGCGTTGTCAAGAACCATATCAGGGCGATGTTTTTTTCCACCGTGTACATAGCACGAACGCGAGAACTCAGCATCTTTTTCGAAAACTGCCTTCTTTAAGGGCCCTACCAGAGCATTCATCGCTCCACCAAATGTCTTCATAACCGAATCATGTCGCCTTCGTGTCGACCATTGTCCATGTCTTCTATTATCCCAAAAACCCGTACCAAAATAAACTGTTCTTTTACGCGCTACTGATGGTACAGTGTTACGTAAGCGAATTGCCCTAGGAGGGTTTAGGTCGTTGGTCACGAAAAAAGTACAGGTTTTTTTCCTGATTCCTTCATCGTGCGCATCGCAGAATATCTCACCACGTGTCAACCACGAAACTCGATCAAATCTGTCACGTCTGGTGTCGACGAGTACGCGAGTCGGGAAAACACTTCATTTTCGATTACCGATACAACAGCTATAAGCTACAGTGCGCCGCTCCGCTCATCTCGTCTTTGACGCTGCGTACACGAATTGATTAAAGTCTATAGTTATGCGCCCCGAGCCCGTGGAGTCGAACGATCCGAACGTCTTTCTCGCGAACGTGAGGAACAAGACTAGACCAATGTACTGATCGATCCCCAAATCGTTCGTTCGATCGGGGTCGAACGCCTTACACGCGTGCTTGATCGCCGTCTCGTCCACGTCCCCAAAACCAATGTATCCCAAAGCCGCAAAGATCTCTTGCTTGTTAAGCTTGCCGCTTCGCGATTCATCAAAGTGCTCGAACGACTGCGTGGCGTTCGTCAAGAACTCGTGCACACGCTTGTACTCGGTGAACGACAACGCCCCATTCACGTTCGTGGGCGGTGTGTGTAAACGAATCAACTGCGCGATCGTCTGCAATGAAAACGCCAAACCACTCTTAGCGAGCGCCTTTTGGAGTTCGCGACCATCGATCGCGCCGTTCCCGTTCGCGTCCACGGCGTTGAAGTGCTGGAGCAGCGTGTACTCATCGGGCGGTTGAGAGTACGTACCGGCGTGCGACATCGCTCGAAGACCTAAGACCTCGCGAGCGTCGAATAGTGCAGTCGGGGTGGGCACGCCCTTGCCTGCACTCAGGGACGCGGCGTGCGTCCCGCGAGGACGCGGATGACGTCGTCGACATCGGATGCACGCGCGGTGACGATTTTGACGACGTTTGCCGTCGTCGCGGCGTCCGCTGCGGTCGTCGTCGTCGCGTTGCGAGCGAGAGAGAGTTCGAGAGCGAACTCGAGCGCGAGACACGAGCGGGGAGAGCGAGCGGACGTGTTACGCGCGATCGGAAACACGCCTCTGGTTCGCGTCGAGTCTCTCTCCGCGATCACGCGCTGTGACGTTTACGCCAAGTGTGAATTTCTCAATCCGGGCGGAAGCGTCAAGGACCGCGTGGCGAGACGCATCGTAGAGGAGGCGCTGGAGAGCGGTGAGTTGGTTGAAGGCGGCGTTGTCTGCGAGGGCACCGCGGGTTCTACCGGTGTCTCGCTCGCCATGGTGTGTAGAGCGCTCGGCGTGGAGTGTTTCGTCGCAATGCCGGACGACGCCGCGATGGAAAAATCGGCGCTTGTCGAGGCGTACGGAGCGCGCGTCGTACGAGTGCGACCGGTATCCATAGCCCATCGGGACCACTTCGTGAACGTTGCGCGACGTAAGGCGGAGAGCGCGCGCGCGTCTCATGGAGCTGGTGCTGGATTTTTCGCCGATCAATTTGAAAATTTGGCCAACTACCGAGCACACAAAGAGGGCACTGGTGTGGAGATTTATGACGAGCTCGGCGATGCGTTGGATGCGTTTGTGTGCGCGTGCGGTACCGGTGGGACGCTTGCGGGCGTTGGAGCAGCCCTATTGGAGAAGAATCCGGCCGTCAAAATATTTCTCGCAGATCCACAGGGAAGCGGTCTTTTCAACCGCGTCGTTCGAGGCGTTATGTACACACAGGAAGAGGCGGAAGGCAAGCGATTGAAGAATCCATTCGATACCGTCACCGAGGGCGTCGGAATCAACCGCATCACAGAAAACTTCAAGATCATGCTCGAACGATCGAACATGCTTGCCGGGGCGATCAAGGTGAGCGACGTAGAAGCGGTAGCGATGAGTCGGTTCGTGGCGAAACACGACGGACTCTTCATCGGCAGCTCGAGCGCAGTCAATCTTGTCGCCGCCGTGCGAGTGGCACAATCGCTTGGACCCGGTCATCGTGTGTGCACGATCGCGTGTGATAGCGGATTACGACACATGACAAAGTTCTGGAGCAACGAGTACCTCGCAGCGCACGGCTTAACACCTCGCGACGTCGAGTGTGGCGAGCGGCTCGATTTCCTCGATCGAGACGTCCAGGTGACTCCCGCGCGTTGCTACTAGCCAGCTCGCCTCATCGCACGCGTCGAGGTTAGTGATGTCGTCGAAATAATTAGCAATAGCAGGATAGTGTGATAGGGACGATACGTTCTAGCGATGACTACGGTACAAGATTAAAACACTGCCTCAAACGTTTTGGCAAATATGCGTCAGCCGTCGAGAGATGCGCCGGTGGTTTCAGGCAACACCTTATGAACCACGGCGAGGGAGAGGACGCTCACCGCAAAGTACAACATCCAAACTCCTTGAGCGTTCCACAACTCGCGGATGCGCAAAAATGAAAACGTCACGAGAGCGTTCATGATCCATTGCACAGACGTGGCGACGCTCACGCCCACGTTTCTCACTTTTTGCGGGAACACCTCGCTCGTCACGATGTACGGCAAGGGGCCGAGACTGACGCTGAACGCAATCCGAAACAAAAGGATTGCGCCCACGGCAAGCCAGGGTGCGGCTGCGGCGCTCATAAAGTGAGAATAAACGCTTGGCGTGACGCTCAAAGTCAACAGAGCGAGAGCGAAACACATTGTCGCCGTGCCGCCGAGTGCCATGGGTCGTCGACCGACGGCATCAACGCTGCGCGAGAGCCATGTCCCGGCAAATATCTGGATAACGCTTACGCACGCCGTGAGAGCGATCGCGTGCGACCTGTCGAAACCAAGATCGCTGAGAATCTTCGGAGCGTAGTAAATGACGACATTTATGCCGCACGCCTGTTGGAAAAAATTCATCAAGCTCGCGACGCCGAGCGCGTGACGCGTCTTTGCGTCTTTTAGAAGGCTCATAATCTTGTTCGATGTATTTGACGTCGCGTTCAAGGCGATGATGTGCACGTCCACCTCTGGTTGACCGAGTCTGTTGAACACAGCCTTGGCCTCGCCAACCCGACAGTTTTCAGCGAGCCATCGCGGAGACTCTGGGAGCGCATCCGTGCCCAGAATGATGCCGAGCTGCGTCAACGCGGGAGCGGCGGCGATGGCGAACATCCAGCGCCAACCGTCGGGCACGTTTACCGCGACGAGTGAAAGAACGAAAGAGCACAAGAGACCGATGGTGACTGACAGAGGCGCCAACCCGCTGTGCTTGCCTCGCGTTTTCGCCGGAGCCATTTCAGATATGTACATCGTGCACATTGAAGTCGCGATCCCGACCGCTAGACCGGCCAGAAATCTCCCGACGACGACTTGTTGCACCGCGGTTGCGCTAGCCATCAGGATCGCGGAGATAATGAAGCCGACATCACATACGGCGAGCGCAAACCGTCTTCCGAATGGCTCGTTGACACCCGGCGTCACCGCGCAACCGAACAGCGCGCCGAGCGGCAGTGCCGCTACCACCGTGCCTTTCATCGTCGTCGAGAGCGTCCCGAGAACTGTACCTGATTCAATGTACACCAAAGCCCCCGCGATTGCACCGCACGCGCAACCGACGCTGAGCATGGCCAAACACACGCTCAGCGTGGCTACGTATCGGGCGCGCTCGGCGTCTTCGCTCGTGACGTCGTGGAAGAGCTCGGCGGTGAAAGCGCGAGCGTCAACCGCGCGAGGCGCTCGTCGCGCGCAAACGCTGGACATCAACATCGATTCGACGCCCACGATGTCTCGCGAAGTCGCTCGAACACGACCGTTCACGGAGCGTCGAGCGCGCGATCGTACACGTTCGCTCGGTGAACGTGGCGACGCGCGCGCAGCGACGCGCGAAGACACGTGCGCGAGCGGCATCTTTGCCACCGTTTGCGCCGCAACGGGCGCTGTTTTCGACGGGTTGGGCGCGTTGTGACGACATCGCCAGTCGTTCGACGCGTTGTTAGTTTTTGAAGTTGAACCGCCACTTCCTTGCCGCGACTTGCGACGAGTGCAAAGGCAAAACGTTCTTCAGGCTGAACGTTCGTTCGTCACACTTGACTGTGATGTTATAGCAAACCAAACGATCAAACCAATCTCAAAAATCACCATGCACGCGTCCAATCACGCGTGCACAGTCTCGGCACTAAATAAAACAAAACGGCGAGCTATCGAATCGACGGAAATCAGCTCACAAACGCCGGTCGCGTGAACTCAGTTTGAATGGACGGATCGCGACAGCGCTCGTGCACCTTGTCGATCGCCTCGAGAGCACCCTCCGATAGCATCGTCGACGGAGCCAGAGCGTCGATGTTCTCTTCTAACTGCTCCATGGTCGTGGCGCCGATGATGGTGCTGGACACGTACCATCGCGATCTGCACCATGCTAACGCGAGTGTGGCTAACGAAACACCTTCCTCGTCCGCAATTTTCTTGTACTCCTCCGTGGCCTCGCGCGAGGGATCGTTGAGATATCTTTGATGGAATCCATACTTTTTGTACTTGATCAAGCGCCCCTCGGACGGATTGTTGGCGCCGTCGAGATATTTGCCTGTGAGCGCGCCACCACCAAGCGGCGTCCAGGGGAGCAAGCCGATATCGTAGTTCGACTCCGCGCACGCCTCCGCGAGTTCAGTCTCAAACGAACGATGCAGCAGACAGAATGAGTTCTGAATCGACACGGGACGAGGAATACCGAGCTCATCTGCGGCACGAACGAACTCGCACACGCCAAACGTACTCTCATTCGAGAGTCCATAGTGCCTGATTTTCCCACTCGCGATGAGTTCGCCGAGAGCTTCGACCGTCTCGCGGATCGGAACCGAGCCCGCACGCTCACGCGCTGGATCGTACGCGGGTGAGCCGAAGAATGCACCTATGGGCACGTATCGATCGGGCCAATGCAGTTGGTAGAGATCGATGTAATCCGTGTTCAATCGGCGAAGACTCGCGTCGCACGCAGCGATAACGCTCGCCTTATCTAAACGCCCCGTCGCCTTGCCCCCGCCGCGCGCCGTAGAGCGATTATTCACGATTCTCTCGCTCGCGCCGAAACCAGCGATCTTGGTCGCGATGACGAGCTCGCTCCTCGACGCCGACTTCTTATTGAGCCAGCTCCCAATGTACTCCTCCGTACGTCCCGGCTGCCACGACGGGTCGCTCATCGGCACCGGGTACATCTCCGCCGTATCGATGAAGTTCACCCCTCGTCGATTCACCGCGTAATCGAGTTGCTCGTGCGCCTCTCGCTCGGAGTTTTGCACCCCGAACGTCATCGTCCCGAGACACACATCCGTGACGAGCAAGCCCGACGACCCCAAGCGTGCGTGTCGAGGCAGCGGCGGCGCGTCCGCCGTCGATCGCGAGGACGACGTCGAGGACGCGCTCGCGACGACGCGTGCGCGCGCGTGCGCGATGGACGCATGCATCGTCGCCGTGCACGCGCGCGCGTCGCGGTACGGCGCACGCGAGGTGTCTGGACGCCGCGTCGTCCCATCGCGCGCTCGGCACACGCATACGCGTCATCGGCGTCGGCGTCGGCGTCGTCGTCGAACGCATTACCGACATGCACGCACGCGCGATCGCGTCGTCGTCCGTCGCGCACGCGAGACCGGGGTCGACGCGACACGCGCGCGGCGGTAACGGCGAGAGCGTGACGTCGACATCACGCCCGGCGGCGCGTGTTCGAGGTAAACGCGCGGTCGCTCGAGCGGTGGCGCCGGCGGACGAGGGCGAGAGGGACGTGACCGACATCGAGATCAACCTCGGTCGCGCGGCGATGCTGGGGTTCCTCGGGACGACGCTGGGCGATGTCATTACGCGAGGCGAAGGGCCCATAGAACAGCTCGAGGACGAGGCTGCGTACGTGATAAATCACGTCAACCCCGTCGATCTCACGAGAGACGCTCTCGAAGTGGCGGGAATATACGTTGAGTCGGTCATCTTGGTGTGGCTCCTCCTTGGATGCGCGCTGTTGCTCGGGGTCTCGCAAGGGATGCGAAACCCGATCCGCACCGTGAGCGGCCGAACGACCAAACAACGTTCCGAGGCGGCGTTTGGGGAGATTGAAAAAGCGTACGAGACGAACGTGAAGGAACAGAAACCGTACGAACTATTCAACGGTCGCTTGGCGATGCTCGGGTCGGCGTTCGCGCTCGTTGGAGACGTCCGAACCGGTGGGCTCGGACCTCTCGAGCAAGTACAAAACGAAGTTGGCATTCCCGTCATCGACGAGGAAATCTTTGCCGTCATTTTCCTCGGTGGCGTCGCTTTGAACGTTGTCTCCACGGGTATCACCGCGTTCCGCCGCGCCTATGCAAAAGGTCGCGAGTGAGCGACAACGACATTGATCCATTCATCCCCTGTAAATTACATTTCTCTCGACTAAAACGTTCCTCCGTTGATCGCAAGACCTTTGTCAAGCACGTGCGCGATTTGAGCCGGCTTCAGTCGTACATACTTGCCAAGAGGGAGCTCTTTAGGCATTCGTAAGCCTCCAACGCGCGTGCGCTTCAGGTTTTTTACCTCGACTCCAGCGCTCTCGCACAGTACGCGCACCTCGCGGTTGCGCCCGTCGACCACTTCGACGATAATTCTATTCTTTGGACCTCCATCCGCGCCCGCGACTTCGACGCGCACAGGGACGACGTGTGCGCCATCGACCTCGGTCCCCTTAGACATGGCGACTATTTGCGCGCGCGTTGGCTTCGCATTCGCTGTCACGACGTACTGTTTCACTACCTCACTGCTCGGGTGCGAGACGCGTTGACTCCAGTCACCGTCGGTGGTGACCAAAAGGAGACCGGTCGTGGCGACATCGAGACGACCGACGGTGAACAATCGGGGTGGTAATTTTCCCGGATATTCAGATCTAAACTCCTCGCGCCACTGTTCGAATAAATCAAGCACCGTTTTCCCGCTTTCCGATCCCGGTCTGGCGCTGCAGACGAATCCTTTTGGCTTGTTCAACATGAAGTACGTGTGCTCCTTCACGAAGCTCACGCCGCCCTCGACGACCTTACCGTCGACCATGACGACGTCGGTGTTTAAGTTGACCTTTGTCTGCGGCGCGGTAATCGTCGTCCCGTTCACTTTCACTCGCCCGCCAAAAATCAAGTCGTCCGCTCCCCGACGACTCGCGACGCCGAGCGACGCGAGCGCCTTGTTCAATCGTTCGCCCTCGTCACGTTCGCGTCGCCGCGCCGCTGGAGTCTTGTATGTATCACCATCGAATCTAAGTTGTGGCGTTCGTTTACCCTTCCCCGGTTGCGGTCGTTTCGGCGTCGGCGGCGCGCTCGGCGAGTTTGGGAGAAAACCAGCGAAACCATCTTCGCCGTCGCTCGAGCTCGATGCCCCGACCCCTCGTCCCGCGCTCGTGGACGCGTCCCGAGAAGACGACGACGCCGCGCGTCCGATAGTTCCGGTGATTCGTCCTCCGCACGCTCGAGCCGAGGCGGCCGCGGTCGCTTTTGACCCGAAACGCGCCGCCGCGAGCGTCACCGCCCGCGCGGCGGACGACGACGGGTGGGACGCGCGCGCGCGCGCGGAGCGAGCGACGACGACGGAGAATCCCACCCGGGTCGTCGTCACCACCGCGGTCATCGCCGCCGCCGTTCTGGACACGTCGACGAGTGCGGTTGTCCACGTGAGGCTGGAGTGACTGAATTACGTGCACCTCGCTTTCGGCGCGTCACTCGCGCGCGTCGTCGAACGCGTCGCGGTCGTCGCCATGGGTAAGCTGTTAAAGAAGTACGCCCACGGCCGTGGGTTGCCCGAGAACTCCCTTCGCACCGCGCTGCACTACGACGAAGAGCGAAAGAAACGCGACGACGCGCGACGACGAAGCGGCGGCTCGACGAGCGCGGCTGGTGGACAACACTCTAGAGCGTCGTCACACGCGTCGTCGGGGTCGACGAAGCGATGGAAATCACGAGGAGGGGCGAAACCTAGGCTCATACGCGCCCTACGAGTGAGCGCACACGGACACCGAGCGTTGACGAAGCAGGAGGTGGACGCGCTCATAGCGCCCGTGTTGCAACCCGTGCGCGCCAAGTACGGCGGACAAGGGTTCGCCAAGCAATCGACGTTCGTAAACATCGCGAGCGATGACTTTTTGAGCGAGTTCGAGGCTTTATTCGACGAGCACGTCGACGGGTTCAATGGGAAGTCGTACGTGAAGATGGGCAAATCGCAGGAGGACATGCTTTGGAAGCAAAAGTTGCGCGAAAAAGCAAAGGCTAACGAAGTGAGAGCGAGCGACGTCCGCGCGCACGACGCGGGCGAGGTCAGGGCGAAGAAGAAAAAGATGAAACTCGTCACCGAACCGACCGTTCGCGTGGACGTGGATATGCAGGCGCAGGCCATCGCGGCGTATCGTGCCCTCAAGGCGAAAAAGGCAGCGGCGCAAAATCAAAAGCGACGCTAATGGTGAACAACTCTAGCTTAGCGAAGTTTAGATAGCGGTAGATCTCAAATGAAAGCTCGCGCGCTCGCACGTCGGCACGCTCGCAAGGATTCGTCCAGTGATCGAAGCTCGTCTTGAGACGCTGCGTTTACCTCCACGTCCTCGCTGGCGCTCGAGATGGCGCGATGCGTCTCTTCCAGGCTCAGCTCGAGCGCTTCGGCGGACGGTGCGCTCGTAAACGCCTTCGCCAGTGCCCGCTTACTCGTGTACGCGCTCCGCGCTGACGCGACTACATCCATCCTTAAAGTCAAAAAGTGCAAATCCACGTCGTCGAGCGAGCGCGCTCCCATCGCGCGTGCGCTTCTTTCGTCGGTATCCTCGGACGAATACGGTGCGATGTCGGACGACGTTATGAATAGGAGCTCACTCGCGTCGCTCAATCGTTCGAGCCGCTCGGCCGCCTCTCTCGCGCTCGCTCGCGCCTCGATCCTTCGTCGCGCGTCGTCTCTCGCGACGGTCTCCCACTCAACCTTTGACATCGTCTCTGCGGCGCGCTGGTACGCCGCGACAGCCTGCGCTAGTTTCTTCGCGCGCGTTTCGTACGTCCTCACCGCGTCGTTTCGGGCTTCATCGTCCAAGGCGCTCGCGCGGTCCACACTCCGTGGGTCACTCTCTGTCCAGCGCTCGTCGTCGTCGTCGTCGTCGTCGTCGTCG